TTCTGGTCATAGGTTATATGCACTATAAATATGTTCTGTTTAAGGACTACTTTTCATTTTCTTAACAATGTTGTTTAAAGTTCTAAATTTTGATGGAATCTCATTTATCAGTTTTTTTCTTTTATACATCATGTTTTTTATATCCCAGGAAATTCTTGCCTACCTCAAATTCATAAACATTTTCCCATATAATTTCTTCTTAAAGTTTTATAGTTTTAGTCTTTCATATTTCAGTTCATAGATCCTTTGAAGTTATTTTTATGTATGGAAATAAAGGGTTGAGGTTAATTTCTTATATCCGGATACCAGGCGTTCTAGTGCCATTTTCTGAAAACACTACCTTTTCCTCGGCTCTTGAATTGAGTTTATATTCTATAAAATGTTAATGTTAAATAATCTTTCAAAACTCAGTGGACCATATATGTGTGGTCCTATTTCTAGATTCTCTGTTTTAGTCCAATGATCTATATGTCTTTCCTTACACCAACACTGCCTTGATAACCGTAGCTTTAGAGGAAGTCTTAAAATTAGGTAATAAATGTCTTCCAACACTTTTTTTTTCTTTTTACTTTTCTAGGTCCTTTGTACTCCTACATAACTTTTAAATTTCAATATCCAATTCTTCATTTATACCAAGTATACATAGACCTGAATTTTTATATGTACCTTGTGTTTTCTAATCCTGCTAAATTCAAATATAAGTTCTAGGAGCTCCTAGAGTTTTCATAGTATTTTCTCTGTAGATGATCATTTCATCTACATATAAAGATTTTACTTCTACCTTGCCAATCCTATGCTATTTGTTTATTTTTATTGCCAGACTATTTTGGTTTAGGCCTGTGTTTCAAAGTTTAATGGACAGATGAAGAGTAAGCATATCTGCCCTTGTTCCCCACCTTAGGGAGAAAGCATTGTGTCTTCTCCATTCATATAAGGTGTTTTTGCTCGAAGTATGAAGCACATGTCTTTGATCTGTTGAGAAGGTTCTGTTCTACTTCTAGTCTCCTGATAGCTTTTATCATGAACAGCTGTAGAAATTAGTCCAATACTTTTTCTCCACCTAGTGACAGGATCATATGTCTTTTTCCTTTCCTCTGTTAAAATGATGACTTTTTGGCATGGGTCTTCCAATGCTGAACCAACACTACCAGCCCTGTAATAAAACCACTTTCTACATACTGCCAGATCTGACTTCTAATTGTTTTATTAAACAAATTTCTATCTATCTTCATACTTTTTTCTTCTATTATCTTTATCCAGTTTTAGGATTAGCACAATGTTGAGTTCCTAAAATGAGGGGAGAAGTGTTCCTTCTTTTTTCTGCTTTAAATGTTTGATATAATTTATCAGTTAAAATGTATATGAGCCCGTTGTTGTCATATAGGTAGGTTTTCAAGCTAGGAATATACTTTCTTTAATAGGTGCTATTCAAATTTTATATTTCCTCCAGAGTTAGTTTCATTAATTTGTCTTCCAAGGTACTTCTTAGAAGTTGTCAAATTTATTTCAAAGAAGATTTTTGTAATATGCTTTCTATATCCTTTTAAATTCTGTAAAATCTGTGATAATGTCTCCTAGATTTTGATATTGTAATTTTAAAAATGTATAATTGATATTGTGTAATAGGAAGAAAGGTCTAAAGGAGCAGGGGAAGTGGGAGGGATAGGGGAAAGGAAAGAAGGGAAAAGAAAAAATATGAGAAAAGGAAAAAAATGGAAACAGAGTCTTTGCAAATAGGGAAGGGTGGAGGGGGTGAAGGGAGGGCAGGGGAAGGGGAAAAAAATAACCAAGATACTCATGTAAAGGTACAAGATCCCAATGATGAATGTAACTGTATTTTATACCGAAAATGTACCTATAAACAATGGGGGGAAAAAAAGACATTAAGGCTGTACAAGAGGTACAGAACTGTATAAAAAATGGATCATAAGTCTGAGCTCCAGGTCATAAGTCCAAACAGCATGCTTTGGTCGTAAGACCATGAAATGGGTAAGTCATTAAAAGAGGAGTATCTATTAGACACCATATTATCAAAATAGTTTCATGAAAATGATTTGTTTTTCTTAACACATGCTCTCCAATATCCTTTAAAATAAAATACAGTAGCCACCAACAAATTGTCACATCAGCTGGGTTCAGGCAAATTGATCCCACAAATTTCGGAAAAGGCAGGGATGAAAATTACTCAGAAAATCCAGGATATCTTACAATATAGTAATGATATACAAAGTACTCATCAATAATCATGGTTCCAAAACAGATGCAATCCAGATATGATCTTTAGTAAATCAATAAAGTATCTATTCCTGTGTTTTTCACATGCCCTTTCCTGACATCTTAGCAGCTTCCATTAATTCTTGAAGGTTACATTGATATTGCTAGAAGCTATGTTTTGAATATGCAGTTTTGGCTCATTAATGAAGGAACTTTTGCAGGTCATTGCAAGGGACCAGTGAAACTAAACTACTACTAAGATATCACAAAACCATGATCCTACTTGACTCTAAAAATCATTGGAAATGCCAGATATCCTTGACAATGAAATTGGCATTAATGGAGCCACTGCTCTGTCCACATTTGTAGTAAATACTTTTGAGCAGAGAAAGACATAAAGTATGTAGTGTAAGACAAAATTAAACAAAAATTAAACACGTAAAACAATCACAGAGCCAAGAATAACAGTGATAATTGTCCAGTTGTTTTCTGTGGTTCCGAAGTGTATATATAATATTTGAGAAAATATGTGCACCCATATATGAGGGATTTCTACATAACAAAAGTTTCAAAGGTAACCACTTCTAAAGAGTATTTTAATATCTGAGAACTTATGTAACTCCAAATGAATCAGTTTTATTATCACCTGAGGAGCTGGTGAGAGCAGATAGTCCTGAGAAATAGTCCTGACCCCAATAAAGAGTGCAGTGAAAAATTTTCTGGCCCCTTGGCACAGCTGTTCTGCCTGTATCATATGTGATCAGGGGGTCTCCTAAGACCGTGCTCCAAATCACGCCCTTCTGCATTGAAATGGCCAAACCACATATATTGTGGATATTGAGGCAAAACAAGCAACCTCATATCCAAAAAAATATCAGGTAGCTTGTTTTTCCCCAGTACCAGACATTATAGAAATAATACATATTTTGAAGATAGTTGTCTTGTCATGCTGTGTTTATTTGTACAACTTACTTAGTGAAAATCCCTAAAATACAATAGGCAACAGCCATTCCTTGTTTAACAACCAAATTGTGGTCTTGTGGCTAGGTCATTAACTGCATTGTTCACTAAATGCAGAATTGTATATATATAGTATATACATTAAAATATTCAGAACAAAGAAATGAAAGGAGATTCCAACTTGATGATTTTGCTTTTATTTGCATAAATCTTACCTGCAGTACTGTAATGTATAACCACACAAAACTACAATACTGTACTATACAGTACAATCAACAGAAATTAACAGTACTGTGTAAACAAAATGTACAAAAAAAGAGACACTGAGGCTCTATAAACAAAATGTACAAAATTGTACAGAAAAAAAAAGGTTGTAAGTCCCAATAGCACACCTTTAGTCCTAAGTCCAGTTGTTAACCAGGTAGATTGTTAAGCAAGAAATTTCTATACAGGCAAAAAAAGATCCGACACACTTAAAATTGAGTGAAGAATAAAAATACAATAAATTAAACCGTAATTCAAGAAAATTTTTCAGAAATAATAGAACAAATCTAAAATGTTTCTTTCTGAGGGAGAAATCACTTTACTAATAAAAAGTAGCTTATATCAGATTTCTTAAGAACATTGTTCAGAGGAATGCTACTGTAGAGCAGTATTTTTTGAAATCCAAAGTGCAGTCTAGCCAACCTGTCCTCCAAGTATCAGATAGTTTGAACCTGCAAAAATTTAGGAAATAGTGCAAATTCAACAGATTAAGACCCAAGACTAAAACAGTGATGGAGACATGGATGTGATTGTTATATGTTCTAACAAAGGGGAAATAAAAGCAGAATAATTCTGATTTACAGATAGTAAGTAGGAATCATAGGACATCATTTAAAATGGACAGACCTGGGCCAGGGATTTAGCTCAGTGGTTCTGCCACCTGCCTCACAAGGTCAAGGTCCCGAGTTTGGTTCCCGGTACCAAAAAAAATAAAATAAAATGGACAGACCAAAAAATAAAAAGTTAAGCAAAGAAGAGATTTAGGGTACTCTAAAATGTACACACATGCACACACACACAAAACCACTGGAACAAAAAGTGCAAATCTTCCTAATTTCGAAAAATATAAAAGTAAAATTACCCAAAAATACCACACTGAAAAAAAAGTCTAAATAATAAACAGTGATTATCAAAGAACAAAGAATTGAATTCAAAGGTATCAGTCATCTCCATAATTAATGAGCTGATTCAGTAGATTTTCAAATGATTTTCAAATGCCTTCGTAAAGCAAAACCTAATTCTGGACTGTATGCAAGAGACATGTGAAACCCTAGAGCGCCTCCAGAGAAACAAGCGAGCCTTCCTTCTTTCCCTTTTTACTCCATCCAGGCCACAGTCCAGGTTGGGGCTATCCACATGCAGGGTGGGACTTCCCTCTTCAGTAAGTGTCACTCAGTCGTGCCCAGAACTATGCTGAGCCCATCAGATGGGCGTTTCTTATTCAAGGTGATGCAACAGTTAGCTAGCACAATCTTTTTTTTTAAAGAGAAAATAAATGTTTAGCTCATGCTGACATTCCTCATTGAAGTTTATAATTACGAAATTCTTTCTTATGTTTTTATCTCTTTCGTGCTACAATTCTAGGGTCCTAATGCTATTAACAGAATTAATACATTCATCATAACCTACAGTTTTGAATTAGCAGTACCAGTAGTGTTTATTACAAAAAGTTTAAGATATGTTTATTGTTCTTTTTGTCCATAGGATATTTCCTAATATATACAAATACTGTGTTTTAAATTAACTTGAAATAATTTCTCTTTATGTGATTAAATCGCCAGCTTCCTACATAGGTAGGTTCACTTATTTCATTGTGCTTTTTACTTATATGGTTTTATTATCTTCATTTTGATTTATTTTTGCCATATTAAGAAACATCTTTTCATAATTCAGGATAGCTAACGATAGTGATTTATTTTAAATAATTGGAACAGTTTAATCAGGGAAATGTTGTTATTCAATAAAAATTTTTTTCTAAAATAGGTGAGAAATTTACTATAATCAGTAGTTTATTCCTATATACTAACTGGGAGTCTGTTACCTCTAAGGCTGTCCTAAAAAGTTGTGCACAGCACTGGCAACTGTACAATTTCTAAATATTACTTCTAGGATTTTACATCAGTATTTTCTAAGACTTTGGAACTATCAACAAAATTTTGTATGAAACTTATCTAAACCCCCTGTAGGGCCTAAATTAAATAAATAGTTGCTCATCTACTTTTCAAGTATTAAAAAAAAATTTTACATGTAAATTTTTATGCTACTAGGGCCAGGGATGTAGTTCAGTGGCACTGCACCTGCCTGGCAAGTGCAAGGTCCTGAGTTCAATTCCTGACGCTGAAAAAATATAGGTTTTTTTATGCTAATAAAAAAAAAGATATACCCTGGCTTGAAATTTGCTAAAGACTTTAAATGATTGTTTTGGGTTATGAAAGTCTGTTTTTGTGACAGCAGCAGCAAAATGTAGGATTGTAGCTACAGTGTCTCACTTTGAGAGATTGAATCCTGAAGTGTATATTTTTGTGATTTCTCTTTTCAGAGGCTGATAAAATACCAGTAATGCGTGGACAGTGGTTTATTGATGGCACTTGGCAGCCTCTGGAAGAAGAAGAAAGTAATTTAATTGAGCAAGAACATCTCAGTCGTTTTAAGGGTCGACAGATGCAGGAAAATTTTGATACTGAAATGTCAAAATCCATAGATGGAAAAGATGGTAAGACTAGTTAATACATTTATTCAGTAAACAAAGTAAATTATTGATAGAATTTAGAGTTCCTAAGCGTTATAATGGTAATTGAGGATTAGAATTCATAAAATCTGAATATTTATTTAAGGCGCTGGGGAATAGAACCCCAGGGACATGTGCTAGATAAATGCTCTGCCACTGAGCTATATCCCCAGCCCTAAAATTTGATTTTTTAAAATATTCAATAATTATTCTAGAATTTAAAACTGTATCTAAATTTTTACTTTGCTTATTATCTATGCTCCATTGCATGATACTAACACAATTTATTATAAATGCACAAATTGCTATATTGTACTCCCTGAATTAGTCTTTTGGGCAGTTTTATAATTATCAAATGAAATTGATCTTACCAAAAAATTTTTTAACAAAAATTCCCTATCATTATATCAGTAGAACTGTTTTTTTAGTGTGTTAATGTTGCTTCTTTTCCTGTAATTAAAAAATTTTAATTGCCTTTGTGTATCTCAGCTATCTCCCTAATGACAATAATAATCAGTTTCTGATTTGAAAGTGTGCTTTTTACATTTCCTTATTCAGGATTTGAATATATTTGCAGTATTTAAAAATATACAGTTGCCTTATTTTCATTATGTGTCTGAGTAAAATTCAACATACGTGGCAAAGTTAAAAATACTTCTATTGTTCCATTTACTGCAGGCAGTGGGATCAACTATTCTGGTGAGTATAAAGTGTACAGGTAGATTAGAATGTATAGATACTGCTTTAAAATTATTTTTAATCTAAAAGCGTTTCTTCATCCATGCTTGCCTTTATTTGAGAGGTTTCTTGGCAAGCTCCACTGAGCCTACTGAATTAAAATACAAATTGAATGACTTTTTTTCCAAGTATTTCCAAGGCAGAGAAATTCCGTATTGATCAGATAACTTACTGAATGCACCTTGAAAAAACAAATTATGTGGTTGGAAGTAATTGTTTATATAATGTCTGATGGCAAAACAAGCTTTATATTGGCTGAAGATTTTCTTCTTATTTTTAGCAAGCATCCATTTTTTTCTCCCTTTTCTGCTTTTTACTGTCCTTATCTCTCTGAAGATACATATGTACACGTTGGTCACAGCAACTGTTTCCTTATATCATATTAAAATATCTTTTGCATCTACTTGGTTAAAAGTCAGTATAACTGAAGAAAATTGTGACTTCAGAGTAAATTGGCAGTTAAATCTAACATTTATGTAATAATATTTGTGTATTTTGTGCAGATAGCATACTGCAGGAAATAGAAATATAATCTCATTTTTCTAATCTGTGGAATCAAATGTGTCCTTATTTCACTGGAAAATTCACACTAAAGTTGTTACTTATCAATTTTTATTCAGAGCGGTTCAGTATAAGAGCTACATGCCTGCAGTTTGCCATAGAAATAAATACTTTGCTTTTGTTAAGGGCAAAGAGCCAATTTTATATAGTATCTGTGATTTTATTTAGTGGATGAAATATTTTGTAACCTCTCATCACTACTACCAGAATAATCTCAAATCCACTTCATAGTATCTGAATGATGAACTTCTTTTTTTTTTTTTTTTTTTGGTACCGGGGATCCAACTCGGGACCTTATGCTTGCGAGTCAGGCGGCAGAACCACTGAGCTAAATCCCCGGCCCGATGAACTTCTTAATATAAGATAATTTTATTGCCATTGGAGAAGTCTGAATTTTTAAGTTTTTTCCCCTTGTATTCTCCTTAAGTCTTCTGCCCCAAAAATTGCAGTTCACGTTTACCAAACCCAGGTTAGCCACACAAATTCCTTATTTTTAGTGAAAGAGAAAAATCTAAAAGCTTAGAGCAGCAAAAGGGTGAATATGTAAAATAGATTGTTCCCCCTTCTTATGTATGTTCAAAACATATTTCTCAATTTGTTAACTCATCCTAGTGAAAGTTAATCATTAGCTCTGTTTCATCTCTAGATCCCACCTATTGGGAATCTTACCTACAATAAAATTGAACATCAATATGTCCTTTTTACTTCTGCTCGCTAAATACTAAATGTAAGCAAATTCTTCAGTTTTTCTCAAAGTGCCCAAATTTAAATGAGTCTGATACAAGAACCTATTTTGTTAGGTTTTTAGTATGTATTTGAGTATAAAAGTGTATGTCAATTCTAGAGTATCAACGTAGGATAGTATAGCAATATTCTTATCTTAGTAATAACAGTATGATTAAACTCGAAACATTTTTGCATTGTAATTTTAAAAAATTGATTCTTTTGGAGTTTTCTAGAAGAAAATTGATTTTTAAAAATATACTGTCACCGATAGGCCAAGATTCAGCATGCTTTGTTATTAATAAAGATTAGAAGTTAAATTCCATTTAAATATACTGTTAGAATTTTCAGTTATTTGCTGTGTATTAAGATGTGATATATGACTTCGAAGATTATGAAAAATTTTGAGGTACATTTGGAAATTATAGCTGATCTGAAGAACAGAACATCTGCCATCCCAAAAGCTACAATTTTCAATCCCAAAAAGCCAACTCTTGGGAGAAAATAACCTCAAATTTATAGTGCCTACAAAGATTAAAAATACAATCTTTTAGGTGTTTTGCTCTTACTACATCTAAGCCTGTGAAATTTTGTATTTCATTAATTTGAGGAGAAAAATATCTTTTCCAACTAAATTTTCTCATATATAGTTGATAAAGCCTTGATTCTTCATGTTGTCTGGAGATATTCGAGGTTTCCAAATGTAGATATTGTGCCTAGGCACTTTTGTGAAAGAAATAGAGGATTTCTACCGTCAAGGAGTTTTCAGCTTATTTAGAAGACCAAACCAACACATAAGAACATTCACAAAAGAATAAATAGAAGATGGCATAGCAGAGAGTAAATATTACACTTTCGAATAGTCAGTAGTCAGTGATCTGTAGTTACTAAAATAAGGCTTTCTGGGAAATTCCGTTATATAAAGTTTGTAAAAAATACTATATTTGAGGACTCTTATTAAATGCTCTAGGGAATTTGAAAGAAAGTAAACAATTCTTGACTAAGGAGGGATGTTAAAATGATAATTCCCTTTTTATCTGATTTTATCTGTTTGGTTAGGGTAGCTAGATTGCATATATTCAGTATTTTCCTACTAACCTCAAAATGAGCATTGAATTAAAGACATCGATCACAGTTTGGTGAAAGTTCTAATATCCACATAAATATAATTTACAAAAAGAGAATCACTTTTTGTGTTTAGATGTTGAAATCTAAGCTTAGTTATCCTGAGACCTGACCTGAAAATTGATTCTCTCCCACCCAACCCCAGGCTAGGAGACATTCATCCAGCAGCCTAACAAATGGAAGCCTGTTGTTTCACTTGAGTCAGTCATCCAAATAAAATCAGGCCTTCAAATGTGTAGTTCGGTAATATCCAAGCACATGAAATAATTAGTTTGTTTGGGTTTTTTTTGGTACTGGGGATCGAACTCGGGACCTTGCGCTTGCGAGGCAGGTGCCGGAACCACTGAGCTAAATCCCCGGCCCTGAAATAATTAGTTTTAAAAATTGAAATAAATAGGTTAGTAATGCATATCACTCACCAGAAAATATATGTCCATAATTTAATAGTGAGAAAACAGCAGACAAATTCAATTGGAAGATCATTCTTCAAAATAACTAACCAGTACTTTTCAAAAGGATCAAGGTCATGAAAGACAAGGAAGAACTGAGAAATTTGTCATAGTTAGACATGAAACATGACAACAAACTACAGTATGGCATCCTGGATTGGATCCTAGAACTGAAAAAGATTAATGGAAAAAATAGAAAAATCTGAAATTCCAATTTGGCTGATTAAAGGAGGTGCATTGGAGATACTTGGAGGACAGCCACTGAAAAAATACAGGCATTCTGAAATGGGGGAAGCAGTCACATGCAGAAATGGAAACTCAATCCAAAAGATGAATCCTTTAGATGAAACCAAGTATCTGGGTTGTTAAGGGGGAAGCAGTGCCATCACTCACCTCCCCCTGCGCCCTCTGTCCAGGGCCACCATTCTGGGAGCTGTTCTAGCAGTCTGAGAGGAGGAGCCAGCCTTGCAGAGGCCGGACTGCCAGCATGGGCTCCCTGGGCCCACCATCCACTGCCCAGTGTCAGCGAGGGAGGCCAGGCCACCTGCCCTAAGCAGAGAGAGGTGAACACTGCAAACGCTAGGCAGCTGGCAAGGACCTGCAGGTGACATCCTGGAGACATGGGGAAGACAGAGACTAAACAGAGCCAGGCCAGAGTGGGCTCTTCCTTGTTACTTCCCTAAACACCACAAAGATTTTAGTCTGGGAAAACCTGTCTACCACCCACAGTCCACATCAGAAGAGACCCTCTGTGGAGCTCTTGAGGCAGGGATGGTTGGGGTTGGGGATCTGGGTGTGAAAGGACAGGAGTGTCGTGGGGCAGAGAGCTTCTGGCTGTATCCCAAGGGGAAGGCCCCTAGAGGAGGAATACTGAGCTGAATGAGTATTGAGCAGGCAAGCATGGGAAGTCATTGATGTAGTCAATGGAGAGCGTCTGCGTGTCGGGCAACTACTTCACATCCTCTTGCCAAGTTAACTGAGGTAGTTGGATCTTGGGACAGTGACAGAGGTCTGCAGTCAGCCACACCCAGAGCAGGGCTTGCAGCCAGGAAGTAGGTCCAGAGAGAGGGATAATCCATCACCTGCAGACTCCAACTACAGCAGGAAGGAAATTGTATGGACCCTGGCTATATTGTACAGCAGCCACATGGGGGGTTTTGTGTGTTTTCTTGCTTAGCTGTTTGTTCTGGGTTCTCTCCAGTTTTGTTTTGTTTTGTTTGGGTTTTGTTTCTTTTCTTTTCTTTTTTTTCTTCTTCAATTCTTGCCGGTCAGTCTAAGGTTCTTTGCTTGATTCAGATGGAAATTATACATTGGCAGTGCCATCCTCCATCAACACCATAGGTCAACTCTGCCAAGAGCTGGTCTCTCCTGCTGCCAGCCACCACCTTCCTTTGCCAGCCTGTGCTGAACACTGCAAGTCAGCTCTGACAGGTGCTGGTCTCTGCTCTGGTCTTTATTGAATGCTGCTCCCTGGAGCTCTTTGGTGTTAACAACTCTTGAGTGTCTATTGCTCTTTCTTGGAAACAACCACTCTGTCTACACTACTCAGGATAAAAACCCTAAGCAGATATATAGGACTATTGAAGTGGGTGCTACCCCAGAAGTAAGTCACGAGCAGATGTATAGGAGCACCAGGCGAGCCTTCATTTTAACAGGGGCTGTGCTGCAGCATGGGGGGGTCAGTACACAGGAGGGAGCCCTCCTAGACTACACCAGAAGTGGCTGAGGAGTGCTGCTCATGTAGCAGCTTGCAGCCCTGATTCAGTGAGGAGCAGGGATGAAAGCTTGCTATGAATGTTGGGTATACAGACAAGGGTCACAGGTCCCTCTTGTCCTGATCTTAGCCACTCCAGGGTGGCCCCTTCTTCACATTGGCATCAGTATCTGAAGTGGCAGCAGAGTGGGAGGAGCACCACGCTGACTCTATGGCTGTGACATATTGAATTGGAGGGTGGCAGTTTGAAGCAGACTGTCCCAGTCCATGGGGTACAAGAGGAGGCAGATGGGAGGGGCAGACAGCCACTGGTTAAGCCACACCATCCTCCAGCTGGCAGGTTTATTTTTCAAGTTTCTTTTTTCCTCTTGGTCTTTTTTCTCTTTTTGAACCTTCTTTCCTCTGTATTCTATTCACTCTCCCTCATTTTATATTCACTCTTCCTCATTTTACTGATTTCCCTGTCTTCCCTCACTGCTTTTTCACCTTTCATGCAATATATATAGCAGGCACCTGTTTATGTACAAAAGAGGGGAAGAATAGACCAACAGAGCCTTAACTCGAATGGCACCATGCATGGTCATGGCGAGGTAACCCTTAACAGAAGTGTGCATACAGGATTCCCAGCTAACTACAAATACTGTAAGTTAACAGGATCCAACGACCTCACGGTATCCCTCAGCCTCCATTTACACCTCCCACCCCCCACCTCTACAGATATTCTTATAAACCTCCCTAACACTAACCCTTTACTCCAGCTCTAAAAATGCCTGCGAGTCTGACCTCCTATCTTTATCTTTTACCTATTTAAATTGCTCTTAGCTCTCTCTCCTACTGACTTTCCCCTTTTTTTTCTCATTCCTGCTCCACATCCCACATTCACCACCTATAACAGTAAAGTACATTCTGTAAGGGGCACTGACAAAAGGGCAAAAATGTAAAAACAAGTTTTAATGTCTGTAATTGATGCAGGGTTGGACCTGTAGGTGCTGATATAACCAGTAGGAGCATTCTCTATACAACACAGTGACTGGGTCCATCCCAATTAATCTGAATATGGTGAAGGTAGACGATACCTGTTGACAAAGCTGAGACCAAATCGCTGGAAAGCAGAACCTAACTAAAGAGATCTTCGTACCAACAGCAAATTCTCTTTACTGCATTAGACTTCAACCGTGCGCGCACACACATACACACACACACACAGGAACATGAAAAAACAAGGCAACAAAATGCCTCCAAAGACTCCCAACTCCGCTAAAGCAGATCCAAAGGACAGCAGTGGAGAGGAAATCAAGCACCAAATAGTTGAGCTGCATGAAGAGATTAAAGAAGAAGCAAAGAAACTTGATGAGCACAAAGATGACACAACCCAAAAGTTAATGGAACAAAAAAATCAACCAATGTGATTATAGAAGAAGCAAAAAAAATAAAAGAGCAGACCCAAACTATTCAAAACCCAAATGACAAATTTACCAAAGATACAGACTCTTTGGAAGGTGCCAGATAGAAATCCCAGAGACAAAGAATTCTGTTGACTACATGAACAGCAGACCTCAAGGACAGAATGGAAGCACTGGGTGATACACTTAGATACCTGAAGTGTTTGCATAATTTTAAAAAGTGGTCAGGTGGTCCCTGCTTCCCATTACTTGAAATTTGGTTCATGTTAGTCTTACTAGTTTATGTTTCTCTGTGTAGTAAATTCTCAAGTTTATGTCAGTTTGATCTACTGTGGTGTGTTAGCAGCTTTTCCCAATGAATGTTTTGTCTGAAACTGTTTCCTGGTCTAAGTGGTGCATCTACTCCTGAATAACTGACCAGAAGGCACATGAAAGAAGAAACATTTCAGTGAAGAAAACTGCTTCAAATGTCATTTTCTACCTCTGTGACATTGAAATCTTTTTTATAATCCTGATATAACAACCCAGCTTTTAGTCTCTGTCTGTAGTTCTTATAGCACTCTAATTACATTTAGGCATAGTTATTAAATATATAAACATAGTATTACCTAATTAGCATTTCCTAAATAACTTTATTGTGCAAATCTTTGCATATACTTTATCTGTATATACACCAGATTTGTTATACATCAGGAATTAAAGATTTGTGCATTTAAGCAGTATTTAACCTTTAAATGTCAAATATAATGTAGAAGGAACTGAGGATGAAAATCAAATATATTAGAACATAAAATTTAAATCATATAAGATCTAGAATTTATTAGCTAAACTAGTAAACTGATTTGTAAGGTTCAGTTTCAAGTGAACTTAAACAATTACTTTCTTAAAATATAAATAAATTTATTGATACGTAACTAACAAAATTTGACCAGGAATATGTTGACTTGAAGGTTATCTACTGATTTTCCAGATATCAGGCCTGGCTTTTCTCTATGTTGTTTGTTTTATGCTTACAAGATATCACAACATACATTTTTACTAATAACATTCTTTGTATTATTCTGTCACCAATCTTTCCAAAAAAATAGTTAAAAGTAAAGCTTCCAATTTAATTTTGGCTTTATAGACTTCATTTGTAAAAGTCTTTCAGCGACTTGGATAAAGTTGTGAAAAGAATATCTTGACTCTAGGGGAAGCCTCAAGCCCACCCTTAATACTTCAGTTTTAGAAGGCATCCAGTGGAATGTATACTGTGATATCTTCTTAGACAAGCTCCATTAGATGTTTAAAATGCTTTTATTGCATTCTCAATTTGTACACATCTGTTGGCTATGTAATAGTCACAAATTTGGTGAGAGTAAATAACCTTAGTATTGTAAAAATGCCATGTTCTATTTTTAATGCTGTCGATGCAAAGACATAACTGATAATCGCAGAACTATCTGTAACCGAAAATTTAAATATTTGCCTTTGTTTCTGTCAGTAAAAGTAGAGCATATATTTGATAAACATTAAGCTAATGTTTTGCTTTAATGATTTTAACTAGAAATTCTATAAATTAAGCATTCAGAATAATGTTTGTCAAATACAACTCATTTTTTGAGTTAATACTAGAACAAAAACCCAAAACAGCAAGCCTCATTTAAATTTACTTTGAAGCTCAGTGTTTTTGCTTTCTTAGTTGTCTACCACCTCCCTCCCTTCTCCCTCCCTTCTCTCTTCAAATGGAGAGGATATAAGGAGAGTTCAGATGCGGCAGGTCTTAAATGAAAGCGTTCCCAAGGTACAGTAATTGTAGTTCTATTTCTCTTTGTAGTTGTATTCCCAGTTTATAGCATTCCTTGTGTTCAAAGAATAGAAATGTCTAGTTTTTTTAAAAGTCTGTCCTTTATGCATAGTGTTGCTTTATTATACATGTGTATAAACATTTGTAAACTGTTTATGGCATAGTAATAAGATGTTCGCCAATATTAAGAGGTTTTACACTAAGACAATGTGTGGATTTAAGAATGAACAAACTTTTGGTGGCTCAACACTATTCTCTAAATATCTCAGTCTTGTAGTCTTGATCTTTTTAGCTTATTGCTTAAGATTATTTTAGTAAGAATGTGGTTGAAAAATAATCTTAAACCTTTGAAAAAGTTTTCTTTTATCTATGAAAAGATTTTTTATTAAAAAAAAGCTGACCTTGTACATTGTTTTCTATGGAACTGACAATATTATTTATTGTGCTAATTGAATGTGGTCTTGTGTTCTGTGTCAGTAACATGTCCTGGCAAGTAAGTAAAATATCAATTGATTTTTTACAAATTTTTGAAATTACACTTATAACATAACTAAGAAATACATTCTCTCATAGTGTACCTGTTTATTCTAGGGAATAGGTTTTTATACAAATGCCTTATGATCTTAGTCCTTGACCAGTGCTATGTCTTTTTATGTTTAACTTTCAAATCAGAAAAGTTAGACTCTTCCTGTAACCAGCTCTGTGACAAATAATTTAATGTCTTTGTAGCTCAGTGCCTTTGTACAGAAAATAGAAGATAATATTCTGCCTTAAATATATTTTAAGAAGACAGATCAGGCACAGTGATTGGAAGGAACTTATGTTTCTGAAGATGAGAATGTGAAATTTAATACTCAGTCCAAAAATACCTTATATTCCCACAGATAATCCTCTTTCCACATTCTTGTTTTATCTTGCACCGAGTGCAATTTTTATAGATTTTTCTGATACTTATAAAATCTACAGAACAAATGGGACGTAAGTTTCTGAATGAAAGTTATTGCACACTTTCAAATAGGTATAGTGTCTCTCAGACCTACAGAAGAGTCACAAAACCTGGGAACACAGTTCCTTAACAATCAAACACATTAACTATGAATTAGAAGTTAAAATTGTGGTAGTTTTGCCATTTACTCCACATTTTTTTAAGAAGTTGTCATTTTCTGTAGCATGGTTAATCAGTTACAAAATAAAAGCCCTACCCATTACTTACTTGACAAAGTTTTTTTTTTTAATGAAATAGTTTTTCCATTGTACTGAGTTATGTATCTGAATTGTTAGGTAATTTTGATTCAAAGATCCAAGTGTTATAATTTTGCACACAAATAAAGTTTGTTATAGAGACCTTCAAATTTTTCTTTTTTGCAACAGCTATTCATAGTTTCAAATTGAGTCGAAACCACGTGGACTGGCACAGTGTGAATGAGGTGTATCTTTATAGCGATGCAACAACATCTAAAATTGCAAGAACAGTTACCCAAAAATTGGGATTTTCTAAAGGTAATTGTGAAAAATTACTAAGGTTGGTCAAAATTGGGGGAATTTTTTTTCTTATATCCAAAATAGACATTTCAAATTCTGTTTTTAGTATATGTTAAGTAGGTATTAAATTCAGTGACAGGTACTCTGTTAAATGAAACTTGTATTAAGGTGCTTGAGCTGACTTGTATTCATCCATGAATGTACAGAGTGACTGACAGGATTCATAAGTATCTTTTATATGTGTAAAAGCATAAAAGCACTCAATGCTGAGGCAGTGAAAATAAAGCACAGCAGTTGAAATCTAAGGTCACAGAAGATAAAGACTGAAAGTTTTCCCTTGGATATAGTGACATGAGGGTCACTGGTAACTTGAATTGGTGGAGCTGAAGCCTGCTTAGCATGGGCTGAAGCATAAATAGAAGGTGAGAAAATGAAGGACAACTCTAAAGTTTAACTGAAAGTCAGAAGAGTGTGATGCTCAAGGGAAGATGTGTGAGAGCATTATCAAAAAATAAATTTTAAAAAATTGTCCGATAAAATTTTACTATCCCATTTTTATTTTAATTTTGTATAATGAACGTGCTTGGATCTCTTTTAGATGCGTATTAGTTGAATATATTTTGTGAATTACCATACCTCACCTTTAGCCCATTTTGCCATCTGAATAGTTGGTCTTTTTACTTTTTACATAGTAAGCTCTCTGTATGTTTTATATAATGTTTCCCAGTTTGCTGTTTGTCTTTTAGTTTTGCTTACTGGTCGTTTTTAAAGAGGCATCTTAAATTTTTATGTATTTAATTCGTCCTTGCCTTTCTTTTTCCTAGTTGTCCCTGGCCTTGTTCTCATCCCCCATTCTCTTTGTATCACCCAATCAGTATATCTTGTTTTACAAATTTTATTTCCTCCTCTCTACCCCAAGGGAATTTTTTCTTTATATGCTTATTACTACTTTTTAAAAAACATATTGTGAATGTTCTCCTTCTCAAAATAAATAGTAAACTTGGAATCATAATGTTTCCACAGCATCAAGTAGCGGGACCAGACTTCATAGAGGTTACGTAGAAGAAGCCACGTTAGAAGACAAGCCATCACAGACTACCCATATTGTGTTTGTTGTGCATGGCATTGGGCAGAAAATGGACCAAGGAAGAATTATCAAAAATACAGCCATGTGAGTTCTTTGATGAATACATTCTACATCTGGTCTAAAACTCAATACTTTTGTCTAGGATATGAGAAACATTAACAGAGTTTTCTTGTTGTGCTGCCTGTTTCTCCAATGCCAACTCTTCCTTTAATCAGTGAAGTTTCTGAACCGAATTTGAAGAGTGATTATATCTGGATGAAGATGATGATGTTTGATTCCACCACCACCACCCCTGTATGGAGAAAAGGCTGCTTAACTTAATGTATTAAGTTAATCTACATTAATCTAAGGCTGAAAACAAGAAAAGATGCAGTTTTAAGCTTGTGTCTTATGCTCTGAACTTCAAAAACTGAGAATACTTAAAAGTCACACAACTCTGAAAAAGCTAAGAATTGTTGAAACTGCTGGTTAGCAGCTTAACCTGTCCAGTTAGTTGCTGCCAGAGGAAGCTGAACTTTGAAGTTTTATGCAGAAAACAGTGGAACACTAGGCAGGATATTTAGCTCATTGATTAATTTATATTCAGCTTGATGCTAAAACCTCTTTTAAGATGTTATTGGGAGAGAGAGAGAGGAAAGAGGGATATATATATATTTCAAAAATGTTAAGTTCTATGTTAAAGGGAATATTAGAGTAAAAGTCTGTCACAAATTTGACACTGAGCTAATAGCTGGAATGAAGAAAAATCTGATCAGGTTCAGATTTATGGTAAGAACAAATCAGTTCTTATTGAAAACCATTCATCTGATTCTGAGCCTTCAAGTAAATGTGTCTTGAGTCCTTATAAAGCAAGAAATACATGATACTAGGAACCATGTCCTTAGCAACATCTGGATAATAATGTGGAGTTGTTTCATGTTTTACTGTAACATCTTTTTTTTTTGGTACTGGGGATTGAACTCGGGTCCTTGAGCTTTATGCAGCAGGTGGTGAGATCACTGAGCTAAATCCCCGGCCTACTGTAACATCTTAATACCACCTCATGGATTAAAGTAAAAGTATAAAAGAACTTTAAAAAAATTGTTAGAAACTGCAAGGTTACCCTTTGGGATCTCCGTAGCTCCTGTTATAAGAATCTCTTTCCTCTGATTCTTACTTTCCAATGAGTAGTTTATTAGTTCCCAGGTAATTCCCTGATGTCAGGATGCAGATCTTTTGCTTAGATATATAGGATCCTGAGAAGTAGGTTTGCTGGTATAGTCTCCCCAAGTAACTGATAAATGAGGAGATAACAATTTATTCTTTGGGTACAAGGGAGAGAAAACTTAACACAAAATGTCTGAAGCCAAAAGGCAGATTTAGTAATTCATTATACTGAGAAGTCAAGGGGTGATACTGACAAATCATCAAAATCCTGTCTACTCTGCCTTCCTTCATGTTGGAGCTACCCAGGTACATCCTGGGTTCCAGATCTGGTGTATAGCATCTTGTGTTCAAATTCATAGTGAAAGAGTGAGTCTTTCTTCCCAGATGTCCCAGATAGTCTGTGACTGATAGTGACTGATAGTATTGCATCCAAGTACCTGAATTCCTTACAGTTGTTATAATCCCATCCTGAAAATAAGTGTAAGTTGACTTCATCATAATCAAAAGGAGAGATAAAGCCACAGATAAGAATCAAGACCTGGTATTGCAAGTGGGATGAATGAATCTAATGTGGCTTAAAAATGTGTCCACTTCAAGGAGGATTATCATCATTTCTTCAGAGACAGGTTAATTTGGTTAGAATTTGATGGAAAATTTTCACACAAAAAGAAACCTATTCAATAATTGGTGGGACACCCAGAGTATTTCTTACCTTTTCCTATTTTCTGCCATTCCTAAGTTCGAGCCTATAAAGAAAATAAAATTAACTTCATCTTTATCCCTGCTATTCTGAAGCTTATTTGTGCTTGTGATTTGATGTGTGAAACTCCAGTTAATGAACCAGGGAGACTAAGGGGTTACTCTGCTCCACTCTGTTGGCAACCTTTTGCTCTCTTAAGGATTCTTGAAGTCCTGTCTCAAATTCATGGCACTACAGGTTTTTCCCTCACCTTTTTTTAGTGACCTTGCTAATAAATTCAGACTATTGTTAATCACTTTTGTTATAACAAAATATGTTCATTATCTACATAGGCTGAGAGGAAAGTTTATAGACAACTTCTGGAAATACCAGTATTAGTTTCCCAAAAGGGATGAATGTGTTTTAAATACAATTGGATTTACTCTTAATAGGGATCTTATTACAAGAGAAATGTCCTAAATTAGTCTTTTTTGTTTTTTTTTTGTACCAGGGCTCAAACTTGGGACCTTGTGCTTGTGAGGCAGGCGCTGGAACCACTGAGCTAAATCCCTGGCCCCTAAATTAGTCATTTAAAGCTATAGTTTTAGAACAGTATGAAGGGAATTTCAGTGAAACCTGATCATTTGAGTGCCTAAGCTTATCTTATACCCTCCTGCAACTTCACTAAAAATGGTAACAAAGGAATTTTCACAATAAAAAAACAAACCCCTAAGTACTAAAAAAAAAAAAAAAAAAAGGGAGAGAATCAGTAGTAGATACAAATGTCAACAAACTTTCAAATAGGAAATGCACATAGTTCCTGAATCAAAAAATAAAAATAGCACAAAAGAGCTGGTTCTCATTCTTGTCTCTGTCTTCCCTATTACTCTTTGTCCTTGTGTCACATTTTAAATTCTTCTATATTTTCTTTAGGCATATACAAATTTTTTCACATAAAAGGTGGCCTACGGACCTTGATTTTTGTTTAAAAATGAACATACTGTGGAAGATTATGATTTTCATGATTTTCCTATCTTCTTCCTGGGTATGTGTGTAAAATAAACATCACACATATGTCATTTATTTTTTTCAGAACCATTTATCTATCCTTAGTTAGCCAATACTTCTCTGGTGGTATTAATCTTATCCTTCCCTTTTCAAAATAGAAACAAAGCATTCATGGGCTGGCAAGAGAACATGGAAGGTATAATAAGTTATAAAATTACAATCTTTATATATCATTATGCCAGCACAGTAATTTGTTTTAGTCAAAGCTGTAGTATAATATTTTTAACTTATTCCATTTTTTCATTTTTCTCTGTCCCTCATTAGTCTCACTATTTCTTGTGCAGTCGAGACCTATATATTTAAAAAATAAGGGCTGGGGATTTAGCTCAGTGGTTTCGCCACCTGCTGTGCAAGCGCAAGGGCCTAAGTTTGATCCCCGGTACCAAAAAAAAGAATAAGTCTTACCATCTTTATTATATTACCATTATCTGTATGAAGGAGTATTATCAGCTGTCAAACAAAACGAGGATGATCTCTCTATTGTTATGGTGCTTTGAAAATATCTACAAAATTGAGAAACTTAGCTAGACTAACCAAGAAAATAAAAATCAAAGTTATTAAAAATCAAGAATAAAAAAGAGGACATTACTATTAACTACCAACCTTACAGAAATAAGAAGATTGTATTATGTACAATCTATGCTAAGGAACTATATAATTTAAATAAATTCCTAGAATTTACACAGACTCACAATTGATTTGACAATGAATTTAAAGACATGAAAAATCTGAATAGAACTATAAAAACTAAAGCATTTGAATTAATACTAAAAACAAGCAAACAATCCACTGAAGAAGCCCAAAACCAGATGACTTCTCTGGTGAATTCTATCGAATATTAAAGGAATTAGCATCAGTTAAAGAATTAGCACTTTACAGACTCTCCAGAATATAGAAGAGGGAGATTTTACAGCTCATCCTATGTAGCCAGTATAACCCTGATACTGAAAGTAGATAAAAGCATTTACAAAGAGGGAGGGGAAACCAATATCTGTTACAAATACAAAACACCAGTTACTGAGTCCAGCAACACATAAAGAGTTAAACACCATGAATAAGTGGGATTTATCCAAAGAATGCAAGGTTAACTGGAGTGATTTTCTAAGAGAAAAAAAAAAGATGTAAGAAGATAGGGAATGAAGAAAAGACAGAGAGAGTTGGGAGAGAAAAGTGTTCATGTTGTGGCTGTCCCTAAATTTGCCTTACTAAAAATAGCATATATTAATAAAGTAAAGGAAAAATGCATCATATGATTTTTGATGTAGGAAAAGCATTTGACAAAAATACAACACCATTTCATAATAAAAACCCTCAGGAAGGTAGAAACAGAAAGGAGCTACCTCAGCCTATTAAGGGAAATCTGCAAAAGACCATCAGCTAAAAATCATACTTTATTGGTGAAAAATGGAAATCTTTTTCCAAAGATCAGAAACAAAGCAGAAATGTTCCCTCCCATCATTTCTGTTCAACATTGTACTTTGTGTGTGAGCCAAGACAGTTATGTAAGGAAAAGAAAAGGCATTCAAGTTAAAAAGAAGTAAAACTATTTCTTCTTGCAGATAACATGATCTTATATATAGAAAATCCAAAGAAAGAAAGGGGGAGGGGAGAGAGATGGAGATCAAAGGAACATCTAACCAAGCTGCAGGATAAAAAGTCACCATACAAAAATCAGTTGTATTTAATATGTTAGCAGTGAACAACCTGAAAATAAAATTAAGAAATCAATTCCATTTACTGTAGTAAAAAAAGAATAGAATACTTAGGAATAAGTTTAACAACAAAAGTGTAAGATTTGTGTATGTTGAAGATATTTAAGACCAGAGTAAATGGGAAAGGCATCCCATGTATGTGGACTGAAAATTTAATGTCAAGATGGCATTATTCTCAAATTATTAGTGGAACTGAATCGAGAGTTCAAATTTATTTTTTACATAGCCAAGATGATTCAATGGAGAAGAACAGTCTTTTTGACAAATGGAGCTGGGACAACTGAATATTCATATGTAAAAAATGATGTTGGACTCCTGCTTCATACCATATAGAAAAGTTAATTCACAATGAATCAAAGACCTTCACATAAGAGCTAAAACTGTACAAATTTTAAAAGAAAACATGAGTAACTCTGTTTGTCCTTAAATTAGGTAACAGTCTCTGAGGTATGACATCAAAAGTAGAATCTACAAAAAAAAATGATAAGATTTTGTTGAAATTTTGAAAACTTTTGTTCTTCAGGGCTGGGGATTTAGCTCAGTGGCACCATGCCTGCCTCACAAGCACAGGGTCCTGAGTTCAGTTCCGGTACCAAAAAAAAAACTTTTGTTCTTCAAAGGATGCTCTCAAGAAAATGAAGGCAACCCTAAAATTGGGAGGGATTATTTATAAACCATATATCAGATAAGGGCGTAGTATCCACAATGTGCAAAATACTCTTTACAATTCAACAGTGAAAGAGCACTAACCCAATCTGTTACTGGGTGAAAGATGTGAGTAAACATTTGTCCAAGTAGAGTATACAAATGATCAGTAAGCACAGAAAAAGATGCTCAACATCATTAGTTATTAGGGAAATACAACTCAGGATGAGAGAGGTAGCCACTTCAATCCCACTGGGAAAATTATTATCCAAAAAATGGAAAATAAGTGTTAGCATGGTGCAGAAAAGTTGCAACCTTCATGTGTGGTTGGTAGAATTGTAAAGTAGTATAACTGCTTTGGAAAAGTTCAGCCGTTCCTCAAAACATTAAACCACATAGGCAGTATCACTCTAGGTACAACTGAATACATGTCCACATAAAAACTTCTTAAAGAATGTTCATAGCAGCGTTATTCATAATAGCCAAAAAACAGAAGCAAATTAAATGTCCATCAACTGATGAATTAAAGTGATATACTGTATGAAATATCCAACCATAAAAATAGTAACATTGATTCATTCATACTGCATTGATGAACCTTGAAAATATACTAAATGAAAGGCCATACACAAAGGGCCACAAATTATGTGATTCCATTTAAATGAAATGTCCGAAATAGGCAAATCCTCAGAGACAGAAAGTAGTTTAATGGTTGGCAGAGGCTAGGAGGAATATGCTAATGAGTATGACATTTGTCTTTGGAGTGATGAAGGTAATCTGATATTAGTAGTGAAGGTGGTGCACCTCTGTGAATATACTAAAAACCAGTGAGTTATTTAAAAAACAAAACTAGTGAGGTTGTGTCAAAAACTTTCAGAACCCAGTTTAAAGAAACTCACAGAAATGGGAGACAGTCTGAGCATTAGTAAGGATAATAAGTCAGTGGATTGAAATACTGCCAGAGTTTAAAGCTCAAGTTAAAAGACATCTGCTGTGGGTTAGATACGTTTTGTGTGACCACCAAGGCTTCATATGTTGAAATTTAACCCCAATTGTTAAGTCACTAAGAGGGTAGAAGCTTAATCCAATTATGGTATTTGGAGGTAAGGCCTTTGGGAGGTGATTAGGATTAGATTCGTTAAGTAGAGTGGAGCCCCTTGATTGAATCCTGGTGGCTTCATAAGAAAAGGGAGAGAGACCAGACGTCCAGAGGTTGTGCACCCTGTCTCTTCTCATGCAATGTGCATATCAGCCCCTCAGCCTCCCACCTCCAGACCCATGACCCAGAATAGCCTCCTCTTTATAAAGTAGCCTCTCCTGAGTATTTCATTATAGTAACTTAAAACAGACTACTACATCATCAGAATGTATGAAACCTAGTAACTTTTGAAAACTGTTAGTGAAAGGGAAGAATTAAATATATCCTCCCTTTAGATGAATTGCATCTCAGTTTATACAGAAACTGTTTGTGCCCCAGGGCAGCCACATATTTGATGTGAAGAAATGCCTGTGTCTAGAAATAGATACTTTTAAACACATAAGGAGTAGTGGGATTTTAAGAAGTGTCTTTTGCAAGCTGCAAGAGAAACCACCAACAGAGCTAAGAGACAACCTACAATGTGGGGAAAAAATTTTACCAGCTGTTCCTCAGACAAAGGTCTACTATCTAGAATATATAAAGAACTGAAAAAAGCAGACCCTCCAAATATAAAGACCCGATTCAAAAATGGGCATCTGAAATGAACAGACATTTCTCAGACGAAGTAAAAGCAGCAAAGAAACATATGAAAAAATGTTCAGCATCACTGGTTATTCGAGAGATGCAGATGAAAATAACACTGAGATTCCACCTCACCCCAGAAAGAATGGCTGCTATCAAGAAATCATTCAATAACAAATGCTGGCGGGGGTGTGGCGAGAAAGGAACCCTTCTCCATTGTTGGTGGGAGTTCAGACTGGTGCGACCACTGTGGAAATCCGTATGGAGACACCTCAGAGAACTAGGGCTAGAGGTACAATTTGACCCAGCTCTTCCCCTGCTGGGTATCTTCCCCAAAGAATTAAAAGACTCATACCACAGCGATATATGTGCACCCATGTTTATAGCAACGCAGTTCATAATAGCTAAAGCTTGGAAAACAGCCCAAGTGCCCATCAACTGGAAAATGGGTAAAGAAGATGTGGGTTTTTTATAAAATGGAGTACTACTTAGCCATAAAGAATGAGAAACTGGAGACATTTGTAACTAAATGGATGCATATTGAGGCCATACTCTTAAGTGAAATAAATAGGACGCATGTGTAAATACCGAATAGTTTCTCCAGTGTGAGAAACTGAACATATAATTAATGATTAAAATGAATAATTGATAATTTGAAATAGGAAGAAAAGGTTCAAAGGCATAGGGTTGGCAGGAGGGGAAGGGGAGAGATCAGAGTTACAGGCTGGAATCTGGAAAGTATCCATATATAGATTGTGTTTAAAACTATAGGAAGAGTTGTGCATAGAGACTAGGCCGGAGCTCATCCGTGGGTTGGGAAGAAGGAGTCACTGAGATCAAAGGAGAGAAGGGTGTGTTTCCAGAAGAAGCACATACAACTATGTACAGTACACAGTCCTCGATAGTGTGATAAATGACTGTTACTGTTTTAGGTACTTATCATAACATGCTGTGCTTTTCATCCTTTAGAGCATAATCCTACTTACATAAAAGAGTTTACTGTAAAACAGTGTGCTGCCATGCCAGTGGTAGCTTCATGTATCTCGTGTTTAACTGCGTATTTGGATAATATCAAGGGGCCACCACAGAAGATTGACATATACCTTCTCAGTTTGCACTTAGAAGTTGGCACTCTGTGTGGTACATATGGATACACATGGATGAAATTGCCTAATAACATATTTGTCAGATTATATTTCCGTCACGTGTCACATGACTGTATTGAAATTTAAATTTAAAAAATTTGGCCTATGTGGAGTCTACTAGCCAATTAGAATTTTTTTCCAGACCACTATTTGTTCAGTATTAGTTTTGAAAATCTTTCTAAAACAAATCACATCCTCTGATGTCTTGTTAATGCTTGAGATGTTTTTTTAAATTATATGGAAAAATGTTTAAGTACTTTTCAGTTTTGCTTTGGTTGAGTTCTGTTATATTTGAATATTATTATAGTTTTTTCCCTTGCATTGTTTTTCTTTGAATAATTTTAATTTTTGTATGTGTGTTTAGTGAATGATAATCAAGTTTTTGAAATAATTTTTTTTAAAAAGTGTCTTTTGCAGACATGATAAATAGAGCTAAGCAGTGATCATCAGTAACTGCCAGCATCAGTAAAAAGAGAGAAAACCAGATATCTGAACCTGTGGATTCTTACGAGAACAGAACTTGAATCTGATCAGCTTCTAGTCACTACCAATTTACAGAAAATATGGGACAAAGAGCATGTTAACACCAGAGGGATTCAGTCAGCAAAAATCAGACTCTGGGAGACTATAGACAAAATTTAAACCAAACAAAAACAAGTTACAGAGAAAAAACCTATAGATTCAAAGACACTTAAGAGACCTCTAATACTTTCCATGCATGGACTGTATTTGGAAATTATGTATAAAAAATGTTTAATGTTATTATAAAATAACATTTACAGTTCAACTGGAAAAATGGGACCACTGAACTAAATATTTGCTGAAACTTAAAAAAATCTTTTGATGCAATAATATTGACTAGAATGTATTTTAGAAATACTATATAATTTATAGATAAAATTATATGTTGTCTGAGATTTGCTTTAAAACATGGGGGAGGGTATGACTGTTAAAGGGGAAATTTTGAGTTTTTCAGAATGAACTGTTCAGTGTCTTGATTCTGTAGTGCTAACCACAAGTTTATACATGTGCTAAAATTCATAAAACTGACACTAAATGGAAAAAAGTAAATTCACTGATAGCTTAATTTAAAAAATAAGATTTTTAAATGTATATTATAGGGAGAATGAGTAGAGCCATAAATGAAGTAAGATAGACCATGACTAGTTAATGCGGTATTTAGAGCACACCAGGTGTATTCATTACAATCTCCTGTGTACATTTATAAGTATTTATAATATAGTGTAAAAGCTTGGAACATTTGAAATCATAGATGGAAGACTTAGGAAAATAACTTTGAAATGAAGACATCCTGGAATTGCAAACTTACTTAGTGTAAATGTCATTGCAGTTAATTGGACAAAATTATAGACAGAAGTATTATGATTAAAGATACTTTACATATGTGAAGCTACTGTCAAGGGGTTTTTTTCTTTCTTTTATTTATTTATTTATTTATTTATTTATTTTTTAGGATGAGAGAGGCTGCAAGAAAAATAGAAGAAAGGCATTTTTCCAACCATGCAACACATGTTGAATTTCTTCCTGTTGAGTGGAGGTCAAAACTTACTCTTGATGGAGGTATAATTTGTTTTAAAATTGAATGATTTAGCCAATAGCAAACTTTTAGGGAAGTAAATGTAGAAAAGTTTAGAAACACATTTTACCCAGTAGGAACAGAGTGTCTTCAATTTCATTGTCTTGGGGTATGCTATTTGTTTTAGATTATTCTACACTTGATAACTGACGGTCCTATGAGGGGAAAAGGTAAAAAATGATCACTACTTTTAGGTACCAGGTGGATCAAAGACATAACAATGTTAAGACCAAAAAAAAAATTCAAGAGAGTACTTTATAATCTGAGTAGCAAAAGATTTCTTAAAACATTAAAACAATTAAAAAGTAAAGTGGATAAATTTGATTATATTAAAATTAAGGACCTCAGTCAGATATGGTGGTACATACATACCTGTAATTTCAGCTTCTCAGGAGGCCGAAGCAGAAGGACAGGGCAAGGGCTGTGACTCGGTGGTAGAGCACTCACCTAGCATGAGCAAGACCCACAGTTTCATCCCCAATACCACAAAACGAAACAAAAGAACCCTTTTATCAATAGACCGTAGACCACAAAGGAATGGAAGACAAACTACACCTAGGGTAAAATGTTGCAACAATGCAACATACATAACCACCAAAGGCCAGAGTAAAGAGGAGGAAAATATATGCAGTATATTGCAAAATATGTAGTATGGCCTATGGATAGCTGTAGTAGTTTCTTTACATCTTTGAAAAGACTTCTAATCTTTCTTGTCCTTGCCTTCCAGTCCTTATTGTGTTGAAGTGGAAAATAACCTCAGCCAATGCAGTGAAATATTGGAGGCTTTAAAAAGTTTATTAAAATCAATAGCTTAAAATCATAAGCCTTCTCCTGCCTCCTTGTACTTTTAAGTATTAATATAACAGCTATTGTTTATTGTTCTATTTTGATTTGTTGCAGGTTTGCTGTTAATGACATCAGGCGCTCCACATGGGTATTGCCAGGCCCAATATCCATGAATCCAAAAAAATTGATTAACTTCATCTATGCTTTCATACTCCTTTCCTTTCATGTTCCCTTTTATCTTGTACTGTTTTTCTTGCAATAATTTGCAAGAAGAGAAGCCCATTAGAGCCAAAGCTGGCCTTCAACATTTAAATGCTAAATTATTTTAGGAAATAAAATTTTTTTCATAGTGTATTTTTCTCCCAAAATAAAAATTTTAAATAAATTTAATTTTGTTTTGTTTTTTGTCCTTGTAGACACTGTTGATTCCATTACTCCTGACAAAGTCCGAGGTTTAAGGGACATGCTGAACAGCAGTGCGATGGACATAATGTATTATACTAGCCCACTTTATAGAGATGAAGTAAGTATCATGATTATCCTGTTGCTGAAAGGTATGTTCTAGAGGGGTGGCATATAAATTCCTTGAATTTTAAGATTTTCTGTTCTTTTTTGAAAGCAGATGAGAAGTTACAGGACTCTGTTAATATAAACAGCCTGTATTTAATAGTGAATTTGATAATCAGACTGGACATTGGGACCTTAATAAAATGGGTGGTCTCATGAATGGGCTATTGGTTAGAAAACAGTTCCTTGACAAATACCAGTTTTTGTAAATCCCATTAATTATATCTCAGATTTTGTTGTCCTCACCCAGGAGTTTGAGACACTCAAGGTTTTCCTTCAGATTATTTGTATGGAATGGCTTTTATTGCCACGCTTCTGTAATGGTCCTTAGAGTCCTCAAATGTAATGCTCCCACAGAGAACAAGGAAGAGGGTGCAAGGCGGAGGTTTACTCAGTGGGCTGGGAGAGTCTCCACCATGGGTGTTTTGCATTTTACTGGAAAGGAGATGTTCCATGGGAGTAACATTTGTCGGTTGCCTAGCATGCATTGCCTTGTCCGCTCCTCCTCAAAACCCTGTGAAGCAGATGCCATCAGTGCCCTGCTTGCCCAGTGAGGACGCTGATGCAAGGGGAGTTAAGGGGCCTGCCACAGTGTCTCACCTGATAAGTGACAGCCCCCGGACTGGGGGGGGGGGCGGGGCGCCACAGCCTGGGCTCTTTATCTCCCCTCTGCTCACAGCTCAGCCACACTGTGGGCCACTGGCTGGGGTTGGGCTTCCCTGGGCCTTGCGTTTAGTCGGTGCGCTGAGCACCTGCTCTGAGCCAGATGCTGGCTGCCCTCGGCCACTTCACTGAACTGTTACCCTGGCTATTGGGGCACCAGGGAGAATCCATATAGGTGGGTGGAAGTAAAATCAGTTGCTTTGGTAAAATTCTTTTATTAAGAATCAGGTGAGATCTGACTATGTACATCAGCTGATAAAATGGGTTCTGAAGTAAGGAAGGTATTTACATGTTTATTGAATTTATTATGTATAAGATACTGTCGTCGGCTAGGAGTCCCTACCCTCCAAAAAGTTTAAAACAGTGCTTTAGAGTACATGTACACACATTCATGAGTGTATCTAAGGAAAAGAAGTCCATGGAAAGTTTTTAAATTGTCCTTAACCTCTTGAAAAGAAAATGTTTAGTCTGTTACAATATTTAAAATTTGCATTTGTATTCTTGATCATAATTGTCCCATTTTTTTCTAAAAACTATGCAATAGGAATTATCTAATGCAAATCATATACAGACTGTAGGAACCGATCGCTTGATTCCAGTCCCACTGTTACATTACTTTTTGTGACTTCTACATCTGCAGAATGGATGTCTCTGCTTTCAGGGGAGAAGGAAGCATTTGACATTTCTGTGGGAGTTTTCTTTCATCAATATTTTTAATCTAAAAATATTTCTGACTTCAGAAAACTTAGACTGGAATGGACTGTGGCAATAGGATTTAATATATATGCTTTCAAGATTATATGAAAATCAGATATTTTGAAATGTAATGGTACTGAAATGAAACTGTCCAGAGAGGGACTGTAGGATGTCGAGAGAAAAGGGTCCCAGTCGGATCGCTGAGAAGGGAACATCAGTTAATATGCAGGCAGGTGAAGGACACAGGAAGTCAGAGAGGTACAGTCATCAGCTGAGAGAAACTCCTCAGAGAGAACAGAGATCGCACCCATTTTCAGAGGAGGCAGAAAGGTGAAAAGACCATTCTGTGCAGAGGCTGAGTAAGAGTAGGAAGGCGAGATTATACCCCTGAACCGCCAGCGTGAGAGAGTAGAAGATGCTTGGAGCTCCAGAGTTGGGGGGGTGGCGATTGGAAGAGCCAGGGCTAGGCAGAGGTGTGGACATGAGAACTCTGAGGAATGACTTGCACTTGGGCGGTGACTGTGGACTCAGGATGGAGGGAGTAGAGTTTACCAGTTGTTTGACAACATATGAGCAGACCTTCAAAGTTCCAGTTATATTTTTGACCAGAGTTGTTTCCGTGAATCAAAATTTGACCTCAATAACTGACAAGGACTTCTGGCCAGAAGAAAATTTTAAAACATTTGCCTCTGCAGTCAAAGCCTCTCCAAGTTATCTTTCAAAGACAGCACCTTTTCTTTAGTTTCAACATCAAAATGGTGAAGCTCAGAGGCACTCCTTTGGCCAACTTGAAGAGTTAAGAATTACTTTCCAAAATGTCAGACAGTTGTTCACCCCACTTCAAGAAGAATGGATAGTACTTCTTTTTCACTGGGGTCTATACTGTACTCAGTGAAATCCTTTCTTCAGAGCTTTTCATTTGTGATACGTATTAGTTTTTGCCCTGTTTGTGGTAAGATTGAATACTTTGTTCCATTCAAGGTTTATATATTAGGCCATGGATTAATTTGAAGTATTGTGTATAATATTGGCAAAAATTTACTAACAATTCAAAACTTATTTTAGTCAACAAAAAAAATTTATAGAAACTATTGCCTTTATTCCTTCTAAAATTGGGGTTTTGCCAGTCCTGATGACACACACCTGTAGTCCCAACACTCAGAGAGGCTGAGCCAGGAGGATCACAGGTTTGAGCCCAGCCTGGGTAACTTAGTGACTTAGCAAGACCTGTCTCAAAATAAGCTCAGTACCTTAGTGTAAGGGCCGTGGATTCAGTCCCGAGTGCTGCAAAATAAATTAATTAAATTGGGTTTTGCTTAGTAGAAGCATAGATTCTTGATGTTTCACAGAATGAATGAAGCTTTCCATCAGAGCTGCTCTGTACTGCTCAGAGAAATCCATTTCTGATTTTGTTTGTTCAGAGTCATCCATTGACATCATTCAGCACATCTTTTACCTATGTACAGAAATACGTTTGTTTGGTTGGTTACTATAGAAACTTCTTTCTCCCCTGATTGCCATCTTCTTGGAGTTCTCTTCATTCTTTCTATGCCAGTATTTTGTGAAGTTTGTGTTAATCTGATTGGCAACAGGGAGAAACAAAAGGGACAGAAAAATATGGCCAGTTGTGCCATACTTCATCATTCTGCATTCTGCTGTAAATGTTTATCTCTAACACAGACCCTTCAGCATTCCGTGATGTATATATTCTTTAGCTACTAGCTGAGAATCCAGAAGTAGATGTCCCATAATCACTTCAAACCATGTCATTATCTCTGCCACCCTGTATAAACTTGTTAGAATGAAAAGTGAAATAGCACTAGGTGTAGAGGAAAGGCATACATCTATGGGATTCTGTTAACCAGTGGATAAACAGTTTGAGACCAGGAAGATGAAGTAAAAGCAGAAGCCAAGAAATGCTATTACAGCAGTAATTATTAGAGTTAGTAATTACTGTAAAGAATTTATTAGTACTTTTAATATATACCTATAATAAGGATAATATAATAATGGATATAAATCATTTTAAAACAGTACATCCATGTCAGTTATAAATAGGTAAGTAAATAGGAGAAGGGAAATCCGTTGCTTACAGTAGAATGCTGAAGACTAACTCAAAGGGATCTTGGGGCTGGAAAATCATTTTACAATCATCATTATAGGGTCACATAAGAGAAGACAGCATGACTTAGCAATGGATACTAAATTATTGAGGAGCAGGATATTTGTATGATCTTAAAATGTGTCCCACAGATTGTTCATTAGTTTAAGAAAGAGAAACTAGTTATACACTAGCTATCTCTATCCTGAGTGTTCCTCAGGGATGATTGGACATGGTATGCCTCCAGATACAATACCTGGAGGAGGACCTAGCATCAGTTGTACAGTATTCTAATTATGAGGAAACATCAGAGAAATACAGAAAGAGGACATTGTGGTAAAAAAAAGAATGGGACTGTATCCACATCAAAGACAAAAATGGCTATGGAAGGAGGGTAAAGAGACAGGACGGCTAAATACAATCAATATCCCATCCCAGGCTGTGTCCTGTAGGGGTGAGGGAAGCTCCAATAAGAGACCGACAAAACTGAAATGTGGACGGTAGATTAGTTAAAATGCTTAATTGGAGTAAATTTACGAAGTTGGTAACTATTCTGTGATTATTCCTAGTTTTAGGAAATATCCAATGCTATATTCAGGGGTAAAAAACATGACCTGTCATACATCCTCAAGTGGTTCCCCAAAACATTGGGTGTATGTGCTTATATGTGTTACAGAAACAGAGAATAAATGATAAGGCAGATGGGATAAAATACTAAGGATAAGTAAATCTAAACAAAAGTATGTGTCATCTTTGTATTATTTTTATTTTATTTTATTTTATTTTATTTTTGGTACCAGGGATCGAACTCCTCGAGTCCTTGGCTTGTGGGGCAGGTGGCCGAACCACTGAGCTAAATCCCTGGCCCTGTACTGTTTTTATTTCACAACATTTTATAAATTTGAAATTATTTTAAATGAAAAGGGAGGAGGGAAAAATAGTTCTCCAGTTTCCTTCCCGAGAGATTGATTCAGCGGGTCTGAGATGGAGGCTGCGCGTTGTGTCTTCTGAATGGCTCCTTGGGTGATACTATCCGGGAACTGGAGGGGGGCGTGGCACTCTGAGCGCAAAGGGTGTAGAGTAAGTGAGAGGGTGAGCAGAATGGTTCCCACTTTAAAAAGTGAGATCTGCAGATTAAAATCTACTTAACGTGAAGTTAACAAGCAACATTCTAGAGTAAAAGTACACGTTTCCTTGGGTACCGATGATTGGGATTAGGTCATGCCTGGCCAATGAACCATGTTTGGTATATTTAATAAGCATTTAAAAAGCCAGTTTTTTCACTCTCGAAAGTAAAATAAGGATCAGTGATTACAAAATACAGGAGGGAACATAATTTGTTTCCTGTAATGAACTTTGTAGTAACAAAGCTGCCTTAAAAAATAGATGGAAATAGACAGGCTTTAAAATTGCTCCAGCGAGGGATGTAGCTCAGTTTGGTAAGAGTACTTCCTTAGCATGTCTGAAGCCCTGAGTTCATCCCCAGTACCACAGTT